TGGATCCTAATTGGATCAAGTTATGCTCCATGAATGTACAACATGTCAAAGTACACTCTACTATCATGTATATGTAAAAAGAACAAATAAAAATAAAATAAAAAACTTGCTCACCAAATGTTAAAGAAGAAGAAACTGTGCATTCTGCTATATTAAAAATGAGCAAAAGTCAAATACGACTTACTTTTTCTGACTTTCTTAGATTTGATTTGATAAATTGTTACTTATGAGAATTACATAATTTGCATATATAATATTCATAATACATAAAATGCTCATGTAATAAGAGAAGATTTTTAATATTTAATAGATTTTTAAAACAGTTTTTGACCCATACTCTTTTTTTCCTGTTATCAACATCTTACATTAGAACAATACCTTAGTCACAATAAATAAGTCAATAATGGACATTATTAGCAACTGAAGTTTATTTTTTTTAATCCAGATTTCCTCATTTTGTCCCTACTGTCCTATTTCTCTTGTATTACTTGTATTTCCTGGCCTCTGCTTGTTTGTGGTAGTTTCTCAGATTTTCCTCATTTGATAATGTGGACAGTTTTGAGAAATACTGACCAGATATTTTGAAGACTCTCCATTCATTGTATTTAATCTGATGCTTTTCCCTCTGGATTTGGGTAATATGTTTGGGAGAGTGAGACCCCAGGGGTGCCATTGTTTTCACAGCTTATCAAGGACTCATGCTACCAAAATGAGATATAACTGGTGATATCAACCTTGATCACCTGGCCTGAAATAGTGTCAGGTTTCCCTTCCCTTTTCATATTGTCCTCTTTAAAAAAGAGAGTCACTGCATGCAGTCTACACTGAAGGAGTGGCAATTTACACTCCACCTGCTTAACATTGGAGTATTTATGCAAATTATTCAGAATCCTTCAGTGAGGGGGGGTTTATCTGTTCTTCCTATTACTTATTTATTCAACCATTTATTTATATCAGTATGGATCCATTGGTATTTCTTGTACACTGTACATTGTAATTCAATAATACATTATTTATTTTGTTGTTCAAGTTCTTTCTTTGGGCACTGAGACTTCTTTTAGTTGAATTCTATTATTGCTTTTGCATACCCCCTGTCATTTTCGGTATTTATTTAAGCTGTTGCTCACCTTCTAGCTGAGGTTTCTGTGTGTTTCCTGAGCCAGTTCAGAATCAGCTATTTCTCCAAGGGCCCCAGTTCTTTTTACTGGAAATTGGTTTTAGAATCCAGATCTGAGCACTAAGTCAGGACTGATTGCTTGTAGAGCCTCTAAGCTAATTGTGTGTGTGTGTGTGTGTGTGTGTGTGTGTGTGTGTGTGTGTGTGTGTGTGTCTGGTTACTAATCTGTAGATATATATTTCTGTGTATATGCATGTATCTATAAATATTTCTATATGTAACCGTCCGTGTTTATACTAATCTAAATATCAAATCATGCCATTTCCAAACACACTCCCTTACCACCTGGGTCATTTTAGGCTCCTCCCTTAGCTTATCTGTAACCTTTCACTGGAACACTGGAAACCTGGCTCCCATTATCTTCCAGAAATGTAATTATTTTTTCAGTTCTAGTATACATCTTTAAAATTTAGATATTTACTTTAAACATGAGTATTTCAGAACTCTTGCAGCTTTCCAGAAAGCCTATGTGCAGTTCCTTTTCCTTTTATTTTTATAAGCTCTACTCATTTTCAAATTTAATTCCCTCATCTCCTCAGTGAGGTTTTTCACACCTTTGTACTGTTTAGACTKATTTGTCAAATTCTGCATTTTTTCCTGGGATATTTCAAATTTTTGAGTGATTTTATTTTTCTAATCATATGCACTCAGTTTAGTCTTTGTGTTGTAAAGTGACATGAGTTTTGATAAATGCCCAATGGCTTATATTTATTACTGTGTAATATATAGAGAAGTTTTTCTCTCATAAAATGTTTCCCTGTGCTTCTCCTATTGAAGTCTCTTTCCATCTCCCCCAGACCACTGGCACTCCTGAATTCTTTATAGTTTCTATAGTTTCTGCCTTTCTAGAATGTCATGGAAATTAGATTTAAAGGAGTATTTGAGAAGAGTATAATGATTCTTCAAATATTAAAATTTCTGTAGGGACTAGGGATATGGCTCAATGGAAGAACACGTGTTTACCATGGATGAGACCCTTGGTTCAATCCTGGGCACCACAAAAATTGAAAAGAAAATGACTATAAATATTAGCAAAGAAAGTGTGACTTGTTTTTGGCAGAGTTCCATTGCAGAAAGAAATGGCAARCGCTTCAAAACGATAAGACCACAATACTGTGATGAATGTCTTAGATTTCCTTTATTTGAGAATATCTTGGGGGGATGTTTTGGGGATCCTGGTAAAGCCTGACAGGGATGGAAGTCTAGGCTTCTCTGSTTAGCCTTTGGTGTATGGGTGAAAATCAGATTGGTTTTCCACTGATGTCTGGTTGTGATAGAACAGTTATTGTCCAAGTATTTCCTTTCTTATTAGACTTGTCCTTTCCTAGTCCTTTGGCTAGAAAGAGAAAACTGTGCCTATGAGAGTTCCCAGGTTGCTAGTTTTTAATAATTTACCTGGGATATGTGAGGAAAAAAGAAAATATTGACAATTCACCATCTTGTGTTTCTTTGAGACTTGAGGTCTACCTTCTCTCTGCTTTTCAAAGCCTTCTTAGATTTTTATATAATTACATGTAATGTCCAGGAGGAACATGAAAAAGCAACTCCACTAAACTCTTTCCAGAAAAAAGAAAATATAGTAACTGAGTAGGTATGATACTGATGGATGACTAGAACAGAGACTGACATAGAAACTCTATAAGCATCTGTATTATGATAAAGATAAAATTGGAGAAAGGAAGGATTGCTTAAGTGGTTTCAGGGAAATGGACTAATTCTTTGTGAAAAATTTATATATTCTCTTTAAACATGATACTGAAGTTGCAAGTGGTTCTATTTATTAATGTGCCTTTATATTTGAACTGGCTTTATATGTTTTAGTACTTTTTGTTGCTTTCCTTCCTATGACCAAAAAGGAAGGATGGTGTAAAGTATGACGGCCAACACTTTGACTACAAAAGCAAATGTACAATGTAGAAGGCACAGAGACAGTACACACACTGTGTGTGGGGAATCAATTCTAAGTTTGGAAAAACATGAAACTGAATACATAACATTTCTCCACTTTCTGTAATTTAACCATTTTGGTATTTGTTCCATTTTTTTTTTACTATTATTAGTGTGTTTAATCACTTTTTATATTTTTTTTCTTGAGGTCTTCAATTTAAAATTTACGTAAGGGTTACGATGTAGCTTATTGGTAGAGTACTTGCCTAGCATGCAGGAGACCCTGGGTTCAATCTCTGGCAGCACTAAAGAAATAAACTTCACATGAATATAAGACATAACTTTTTAGTGGCAAAATCACGGGTTAAAAAGGAGAAATTTTTGTCTTTCTTGATTCAAAATGAGTTGAAATCCACATATCAAGTAGGTAAGTAAATGGGACAAAAATTTGCAGTATTCAAAATTTTTTTCTTCATTAAGGACGGGTGTGTGTGTGTGTGTGTGTGTGTGTGAGAGAGAGAGAGAGAGAGAGAGAGAGAGAGAGAGAACACGTGTGAACAATTTCATAGTAATATATTTTTTATAAATTCTATATTAGATTAATTCTTCCACAGGATAGATTCCCTATATTCTCTATTTTTTTACCCAAAGTATATAAATCTGCAACTAGCAACATATGAGCATTAAATATTCGCTGAATAAATGGATGGATAAATAAATAAATCTCCTTTGTAYATTTGGATGAATACTTGGTAGTTATAGGCATAAGAGTTGATGTTATATCCAAATTAAAACAATAGCAAATATAAAAGAATCCTATTTTACCCTCATGGATGTTTTCCAAAATCGTTTACCCTCATTTTCTTTTCATAGTGAATATTTAAGTCTATTGTTTTCTTTTACTAGAAGCCCAGTTGTAAGATTTAACAAATGTTTCATATTTTATTGATTGAAAGGAAACATGACCCTCTTTTTTGATGTTATTTGTTGAAAATCTTTGGAGGCTTAGTATACCTGATGAGTGGTTTTGTAACTGTGGAGGCAGATGCAGAGGGAAAGTTGATAAAGTTTATGAATTAAGATAGGCTTTCATCAATATTCATGCCTCTAATATTGCTAAGTGTCAGACAAACCCGTCTACTTTAATCTTTAATTTAACTAATAATCTCTTTGATTCCAAATCACTAAAACATCACTATGAATCAAAGACTAACCTTGAAAAGAACTTCTCTTTAGTTGCCATAAAGATATGACATTCCATTAATTAAGTGTGAATTTCACATCCCCTTCCATGTAGAAGTCACTTGACTCTGAGTGTAGAGATTCATCATTGTTTTCAGAAAAATGCTGAAGGCTCCATCTATAAATTGATAATTGTTTTATAAAGTAAATTTTAAGTTAATTGATACATAGTTACACTTTCTATCACCCAGAGAAAGAATCATACGACATAATATCTGTTTCTCCTGCAACAGAACAAGACATTACTCATATTTATTAATATTAATTTTCTCAAAGCATGAAACCATGAACTTATAACTTTTTGAACCACATAGACATTTATTTTTCTTTTTGGTTTATATTCTTCAAAGTATCTGTAAATTATATATTTCATAGTGGTACAGTATTAATCTGTTGGAACATCTCATTTGATTTTCTGGATGCTATTCCATTAAATGCTCCCCTCTGTTCCAATATTTTGATTACAAGTTTCAGACAAAGGCCTTATATATTTATCTTAAAATCAAAGTGACCTAGCACCAAATACTGTTTTGGGGGGAACTAACCATAAATGATAAACAGTGTTAAAGACATTTTATCAGCGTTCCAATGTTTTTCGAATTTTCATTGGTCAGTTGGTTTTGTGCTAAATAACTGGGTATTTATTATTAATGCTGTCATTGTTGTTTTTAATTATTTCCCTCTTTAACTTCAGACAGATAAAGGACTCTCAGAAGTATGGCAAGAAAGCAGGCAGAACCCTGGTAATCAGTGGCAAAAAGCTGTCATTCTGCTAGGAAAGCAGAGAAACTTTGAAGTTATCTTTCAAGGTACCAGGACAAGGGACCTGGGAGGAGGAGCTGCAATTGATGATATTGAATTTACAAACTGCACAACTGGTAAGTTTCTGGAGATCATTTCTATTTGGAAGCACAGTTATAAAAGGCTATGTTGTGTACTTTGTATACACACACAAATTGTTTCACAGGTAGAACTTCATAATTGTAAAGTTGCACCACATGTTAAGAGCTAACCTCTGTATTAGTCCATTTGACAGGCTGTAACAACATAACATAAGCTGGGTGGCTTATCAGCAACTGAAAATTATTAAAATTATTTCTCACAGTTCTGGAGGCTGGAAAGTCCCAGACTGGTTGAGGGGTGGGTTGCTGGCAGATCCCATGACATGTAAGGGTGTGTTTCTTGGCTTACACAACTTTCTTGTTGTGTCCTCACATTCTGGAAGGGCAAATGAGCTTTGCTGGGCCTATTTTATAATTCCATTAGTGAAGGCTCAGTTCCTATGACCTAAACTGCCTGAAAAAGGCTTTACTTCCTAATAATAYCATCTTGGAGGGTAGGAGTTCAAAATGTAAATTTAAGGAGAAAATAAATATGCAGATGATAGCAATACCTCTCCATCAGTTACAGAAAGGACTCCCCTCTTCTTTCTACACTATCCCCTAACACGTGGATGTATTCTTTAAATTTTTTTTCAACACACTGTAAAATGTAAGTTTAAGATTTACACCCAACAGGGCATGGTAGTGTGCACCTATAATATCAGTGGCTCAGGAAGCTGAGGCAGGAGGATTGCAAATTCAAAGCAGCCTCAGCAAGCTCATCAAGGCCCTAAGTAATTTAAGAGTCTGTCTCAAAATAAAAAATAAAAAGGGCTGGGGATGTGGCTCAGTGGTTAAGCATAACTGGGTTTAATCCCTGGGACCAAAAAATAAACATAAAAATAAAAAAAGAGTTACATCTATTCATCTATTTTTTAAGCTTAAATTAGTGAAAAATGAGCCAGTAAAAAAGATTAGAAGCTGAGAAATAAATTCAAGCAAAACTTGTGTTGAAAACTATGCTCAGGAGATTTAAAAATGATATTCCAGCATGTGAACAAACAATAACTTGAAAAAATTTGCTATCCTTTATCATACTTTTAAATGTGAAGTATAACTACACTTAGATTTTATTTATAAAACTATCCAGAAAAAGTMAAAAATAATTATGAATACATTTGTACAATTTCATAGTTTGCAGAGTTCCTTAGTGGGAATTATTTCATTTGATTTCCAAAATAGTCCTGTGTGATACATTCTGCCGATGAAGGATGTGCCTTCTGTGGTTTGCTATACTGATTCACTTGGCGGCGAGTCTCTGGGACTGAAGAGCTAAACCTGAATACTGTTTAATTTTATTGTATTAAAATATCTTTTCACTCAGGCAGTTCAAAAATGCKACTTTAGTTTTTGGTGATGTTATAGCATCTGTCCTTTTTATGAGCAGTGCTGCTTCAAAGGTTTCTGCTTCACAAGAAATAAATCCTTTAAAATTTTACCCCCCACCCTCCTTTCCAGAAGAGGTGGATGCTACTCAGCTACCTTGTATATGTTACATAAGATCTTAATTCATGTGCCCCTGAGGATCCAGAGAGCATATAGCTCAGTATCTGTTGCTATGCAGGAGTCAAAATCTGAACTGGAAGCTGTTTGGGATAGAGTGTCAAAGGAAATGTGGTTCCGCACACATAATCATGAAAAAGGAATCTTAGACATGAGAATGTGCTTCTTAAATTCTTTCCTAGTCAATTTCCTGGTAATATGTTGATTTTCTATTATAATTTGTAACTCAATCTATAAATGATTTTGGCAACTTGAAGAGGAAAAATTCTTTAAAAGTTTTTTTTTCTAAGATTTTAGAAAGAAAGAAAGAAGCTTTTATTCAACAAGAATTCCTTCCTCTCAAGGGAAGGAGAATGCTTCCTAGATGGGTTGATTCAGGACAGAAGGGAACTGAGAGTTATTTTTCCAGCTTTGCCTGGCTYATGTAAAACTTTGCACTGTTTTTTMCCTTCCCTGTTTTAAAGTCGTTTGATAATTTATGTAACACTAAGTAATTTTATTCCCCTCAATCCAATACTCATCTTATTGGGTGACATTTTAATGTCTTATAGTTATTGATAAATTATATTTAAGTCTAACATGCTTTCTATGTTTTCAATAAAGAGACTAATGTTGTCACAGTTGAATATGATCAATCAATATTGAATGCAMCAATACAGTCATTGGTTTTTAATAGCTTAGYATGATAAGGAGTATTTTTGAAGTATTTCTTAGTTAAGGTAGAACTAATTATTTGTAAGTATTATGAGAAAATTTGGAAACTATGAATGGAGCTCAAACCAATGATATTGGAAATCCCCTAGTTTTAAGATATACACCACTCATATGTCTGATGATCAATGGGAAGAAGCTTTGACTATGCTACCCTTAGTTGTTTTCCACTGTTGCCAGTTTAGAAGAAGAGAATAGTATTTGACAGAACACCTATAAGTCAGGGAGGCATTTAGCATATAGTTAAGAACAAGGAGTCTTTGAAACAAGATACCTGGGTGTGGAATCTGGCTCTGCCACTTAGCTTGGGGAAATTTCATCATTTCACTTTGCCTCAGTTTCCATATCAGTAAAATTAATAATGATAAACAGGTAGTCCCATCATAGGTTTCTGTGAACATTAAATATGTTAATACATGTGAAGTTCTTGTAATACTCTTGGTACATTGCAAAGTTACTGAATCACATATTCAAAGCTTGCTTTATTGCCTTTTATTAGGAAACTAATTTGAAATCATATATAAATAGGTTATAATAAAATTTATTGTGAAATTGTTGCCATTCTCCAGTTGAGATATAGAACTTAAAAAAAATAATGTTTATTTCTGTCATATTGCATCTAAACCACAGGGAAAAATGCAATTGATAATACCTCATATATTAAATGTCTAGATTATGTAAATGTATAAMTAGAAAGTAGATTAGAAATTATGTATGGCTGAGAGAATGATTTATAAGKTTTATTTTATAAGAAGATGAAAATATTATAATATTGTTTGCAGTGATTGTTCCACAACTTCATAAATACACTAAAGTCATTAAATGTTAAACTTTATATGGCTTTATATAGGTGAACTTAATGGCATCTTAATTATGAATTGTAAATCAGTGGACCTCTTTAAAATAATAAAAAAATGAGAGTAAATTCTGATAGATGGTATGAAAGTGACAGAAAAGCTTTTAGTGTTTCCCAAGTCTTCACATCAAAACAGAGCACCTGGTTAACAAAGTCAACCAGCCATGGAAAAACCTACACACAAAATTATATACTCCCCTCTAAAGCCCGAGATACAAATCAATGGGAACAACCTGCAAACAGCAGCAAGACCTGGGTGCCACTTGTGCCTAAAGAAAAAAGGCCATAGCATGGTGAGGGAGCTAACAGATAATCATTGGAAGACACAGCCAGGTGGTTGGAGGGTTTTATCCACTGGGAGAATGAATAGATCCTCAGGTCTATGAGGCAGGAACTGTCTAGACCCATGAACTCTCTTAATAATCTGTGCTTKTTCCATGATAATCTGACTTAAATCTGAGGTCTCTATGTATGTATTTTAAATTTCTGAATCATCAAGATTAAAATTCTGAGTGGAAGTAAGGAAATATGTATGATATAAAATCTATATGATATAATGTGTTCATGCCACACATACATATATACATATATATGTACATGTACATATGCATGATATATGTTTAGTGGTTATCTATTTTCCTGCAAATAAAACATTTTTTCAGKTTTTTTAATATTTATTTTTTAGTTGTAGTTGGACACAATATCTTTATTTTATTTATTTATTTATTTTTATGTGGAGCTGAGGATCAAACCCAGGGCCTCCTCACACGTGYTAGGCGAGCACTCTACMGCTGAGCCATAATGCCAGCCCTTTTTTTCAGTTTAATAGATGTACTTTACTTCCTATTCATAAACTTACAGCTCAGTTTATTAAAGAATATTTAGTAAATGRTCAAAATAAAGCTATATATACTTCTTTTTATTTTTTATTTTTTAACGTTCTAARTACATGATGGTACTATCTTAAACTTACTATCAGTTTTTGTGTTTTTACTTTCTAAAAGAATAACTAAAGCAAAAACATGGACATTGTCTGTGGTCCAAGAACACACTAAAAAGCATCTCTTCCTTTTTTGAACAAGCTAATAAGGAAAAAACGTACCTTATTCATAGAAAAATAATTGACAAAACATGAATTTGATATTGCACTTTTTTCAATTTGGTTTGAAAATGGATTGCACACAAATTTTTATAAAATGCAAGAACCGTTCTATAGTACAAAGAAGYGAGAAGAGCTTTTATATTGAAAGGAAAAGATGACTACAACAATAAAATATTTGTAGTCATTAAAGTTTTAAATTTAAATGGCTATTCAATCAGAATATTATTTATTCAAGTATTATTTACCTGATACTTATTGGCTTTGCTGCTAACACTAAGAAGCATTTATTTCAGTAGTTAAGAGCCCAGATTTGAAATACTACCATTAGATATCAACCTAGCTTACACACGTGCCAGCTGCACTGTGGTTTAAAGCCAAGTTCCATAATCTTCTGGTTGCTTTTTTTTTTTTCCTCATTTAGAAAGCAGTAATAATAATGCTTCTATTTCTTAGACTTCTTGAGGTAATTAAATTGTTAACTCTCTAGGAAGCRCTTTGAAGAATGCATGTAAGCATCTTAAAAGTGTAAGCTAAGAAGAATATGTGAACAATAGTGAAGGGCTTGTCATTGTTCTAGGAGTAAAACTTTTTTATACTATCATTCAGGATCTGATTCTGTTTGGTTCTTTCGGTTTTACAGGTTCAACCACCATCTCTCGATTATCTAGACTCTTTGCAATATACCATTTATGGCTCCTCCCAGCAGGGCTGAAATGTGTGTGCTCCACAAGGTTGGGTTACATGGATTTTTCCACTTCCCTATTCAGTGCCCCTTTCTTGACTCCTGGCATTTCCCCCATCTGTATTGTGTTATCCTTGGGTTTT